ACTTCAGCTGTGTCGATCCGTCGCACCAGCAGTTTCTCTTCATGTGGCCGCGCGTGACCCTTGCTTCTCCTAGTTGTGCGACCACATCTCGCCTTGCACCAACAGGTTTGCTTGCTTTTTGGTTGGAATCCGGTCGTGATCTGCCTTCTTGCAGTGCGCGCCTGCCTCTGTCTCTTGCTCCAAACTTGTCTCTCTCGGATTCGGCAATGGTTCTCTTGTCTCACCGGACAGACGTGTCTTCGGTGATCTTCTCTGGTTTTGTTGTGTTCTTTTGGTCTTCGCTGATGTTGGAGGTTTGTTTTATTCCTGTGAGATTTATTATTAAATTTTATTCCCGTGTTCCTTTTTTCTGGTACTAAAAAATGATAAAAGTAAAAAAAGTGATTGTTCCTAATTCTGATAACCAATCATTACAAATTAGTATAATAAAACTTGATGGAATTAATTATCTTGTCTAGTTTAAATTCTATTTACTGTTTATCAAAGTTAGAAGTTTATAAGGTTATATTACTGGTGATGCGAAAAAACTAGAAGTCAGAAGTTCAGAATATAACAGATGAGATTCTGAAAAACTCCTTGGTTATGTTTTAACTTATTAGTTCCATGCAATTTTACATTGGTGGAACATATTTATTGTTCAACACTACTTTAAAAATATGAAATGCAGTCTCTTTTACATACTCTAAAGTGAGTAATGATGTTCAAATTTATGAACTCCGAAATAAAGTTCACAGCATAAAACAAGGAGAGTTGATTATCTCCCAATATTTTTATGAACTTAATGAACTATAGTAGGAGCTCGATTACTATCAAGATTTTTAGACAGATTTCTCAGAGGATGCTGTCAAATTTAAGAAAATGAACGGATTTATTATTTCTTGGGTGGTCTGAATGCCGAATATGATTAGATACGGGTCCAGGTGCTTGATAAGGATCTTCTTCCCTCATTAGAATAAACATATTCTTATGTTCAGTAAGAAGAGAGTAGAAGAAATGTAATGCTCCACATAGCACTGGTTGAAGAAACTGTGTTAATTGCTTAGTCTGATCACTCTAAAAACAAACAGAATTGTGGCTATTATGGTAAGATAAAACACACTAAGAAAATTTGCTGGAAATTGCATGAACGACCCACTAGAGGTCGTGGGGGAACGAAAGGTGGACCTATGAGAGCTTAAGCAAACTTGGTTGAGGCAAACGAAGTACCCAACACACCAACAGTTGGAACTTTTTCCACCGAAGAGATTCAGAGTGTGAAGCGCATTCTATCTCAACTTAACTCTTTAACTACTATTAGTGCATAACATATGGTAAAATTAGATATTCCTTCTCTTCTTCATTCCACTCTTAATATTTGCATTATAAATTCTGAAGTTAACTGACACATGACAAACTTTTTCATTGAATTTCTAACTTATTTTTCTTCTATTAAAGGAGAAAATGTTCGTATAGCAGATGAGTCATACACTCGTGTTTGAAACAAGTTCCATTAATTGTACCCCAATTATTACATTGTCTTCAGTTTTACACGTGTCTAGTTTGCCTAATAACCTTTTATCTATTAGTGCCCTTACTAGAGATTTAAACTGTAGAATTGAATTTTTTTCTAGTTCATGTATCTTTCAGGATCTTCGAACAGGGAAGATGATTGACATTAGTAAACCGCAAGATGACTTATATGTCTTGCAAATAAGTCAGAATCTAATTGGGAATCAAACCACCATTGAGAACGAGAAAGTCAATGTGGAAATACTACAATGGCACCAGCTGTTGGGGGCACCATTCCTTTTTTATTTTAGAGAATTTATATCCTACTTTGTTTAATAAAATTTCTGTGGATTATTTGTTTTATGATGCATGTGAACTTAGTAACCGTAAAAAGAGTATGTATTATTTGAGTAATAATGGTTAGTGCTTGGTGAAAAATAAATTTTTCAAGAAAAAAAGTTCTTGGTGAAAATAAAATTTTGGCTTGGGATTGGTAGTCCACTAACAAAGAGAGGAAGAATCTTATCTCCCTTATTTCGTTGGCTACAATTTGGGTGATCTGGAAGGAGACAAACAAAAGATTGTTTGAGGCAGCATCTCTTCTTTTGGTAGTATTAAAGATCATCGGTTTCAGACCTTGAGTTTTTTGTTTAGAGATCAATCTCTACATTATGCAGGTGGTCTTGGGAACCATTCTAGATGTTTTAAGCTCTTCTTGAAAGTTGTAATCCTTTTATTCTAGGGTGGTACTCACTTGCTGGCTTTTTTTTTAAGAATAAAAATGTGTTTATGTCATCAAATCCAAGCACCAAGAGTGCTAACCCCTATACTAAAATATTTACATATCAATCAAAAAGTCAATAAGATCTCCAGAATCCTTAAAAGAATATAGAGAATGACCCATAGCTAAAACACCTGGTGAACAATTGTGAAGTCAATTGGAAGACCTTGAGAAGCTTAAAGGTACAAGTGTAATAAAATACTAAGGTCTTTTTTTTTTCCACACGGTGTGAATGTCTTAGATAAATTATTTGAAAATTCTTAAATTACAAACTTAGAAGCACTGATCATATAATAAGTACTTCTAAACTTTTCCATATATATTTTCCCTATCCAAGTAACGAGAAAATTATCACTGTAAACACTTCCCCAAACGCCATTGTAGGCAAAGGGAACATTAAGTTTAGTTCTACCTTAGAAATTATGATATATACTCCTAAATTATGCACTAATTTTGTGTCAGTAAGTAAATTATTATAAAATTTAAACTATGAAGTAGCTTTTGATTTTTCTTACTGTGACTTTTAGGATTAAAATTCAGGAAAAAATAATTGGACATGCTAAGGTCAGTCTCAGACTCTACTACTTGGATTCACTCGAGCGAACCCTTTTAACCGCTACTATAGATCTCATATACAAAAGTTGGCTACATCACAAGAGACTTAGACACCCATCAGTCTCTATTTCAAAAGTTATATTTCCTTTATTGTTTACAAATTCAGAATATAAAAATATATACTGTGATATATGTGAATTTGTAAAACATAAGCATATAATGTTTCCTATTAGTGATAAGAGAATTTCAATTCTATTTTCATTAATTCACAGTGATATTCAGGAACCATTTCATAAGCCTAATATTTATGGGGCTTTATGGTTTATGTCACGCATTGATGATTGCATTACAATTACATAACTATTTTACTCAAAGCCAATTTGAGGTTAGTTATTATCATACATCAATTTTGTAATATAATAAAGATTCAATGTGGAACATCCGTAAATAAATATTGTGCTGACAATTTAAATTTTTTTTTTCAATCACTCACTTTCATCATTTATCTATTAGGAAGGAATTCTTCATTAATTATCATGCATTCACACTCCACAACAGAACAAAATAGTGGAACATCAGAATTGTCACATTTTAACCACCATCAAATTCTTTCTTTTCCAAAATAATGTCCCAAAACAAAATTATGACGAAACCATCCTTATTGCCATTTATATTATCAATTACTTGCTCTTAAATGTTGACTTCAAAAGTTCTTTTGAAACACTTCGATAATTTTATCCAATATTAAGTGTTACAAATCATATGATCCCTTGAATATTTGAGTGTGTTGCCTTTGTTTATAATCAATGAGGGAAACTTAACTCTTAAGATTTAAAATGTATATTTATCGGGTACTTATATCAAAAGGGTTACAAATATTATCATCCGTCTGCTTGAAAATTCTGTGTTTGTAGATGTCACATTTATTCAATAAAAATCATATTTTATCCAATCTTATCTTCAAAGAGAGTCTATATTCAAAGATAAGGATGTAAAATTTTCAACGGATTTTGATCAACGATATTTTCCACACACCTCAAAATCATCAGTATAAAAGAACGTTTAGAATCTACTAGAAAATTCAACACCAAAAGATAACATTTTAGGCCCACTTGAAAATTCATTACTACAAGAAAACCTTCAAAATCCATCATCTGAAAAGATCATGTTAGACTCTAGGTTTTCTCAGGTGTATACAAGGAGAAAGATGCTGAGTACTGAGTCAAAGGTAGTCCCAGAATCTAATATTGATCCTAGAATTGAGGTAAGTTATAGAAAGCTTATACAATCCTCTGATAATAATATACCTATTGGATTTTGTAAAGATATAAGAGAATGCACTAAGCACCTATTTTCTCGTAAGTTGTATTATTTGATAAATGGTTATTGACCCATAAAAATTTACTTACAAGTTTAAATACTATATTCCTAAAACAGTTTTTGAGATATTGTCCCGTAAAAAATGGAAAAATGCTAGGAGTATGAAAATGTAGGCACTTGGAAAAAACTAGATTTGGAAGTTGTGAATTTACCCAAAGGCAAGAAACTAATGAGATGCAAATGAGTTTTCTCAATCAAATAGAAAGTGTATGGATAATTGAGATGTATAAAACGAGATTGGTGATAAAAAATTATACTCAGATATATGAGATAGACTAATAGGAGACATTTGCACCAGTCGTCAGAATGAATACTTTGCAGATCTTGTTATCAGTAGCTGCCAATTTTGATTGACAATTATAATAATTTGATGTAAAAAATGCATTTTTACATACAGATTTGAAAGAAAAAAGTTACGTCAATATTCCACTAGGTTTTGACAGAGAAACAGGAGTAGATAAGGTATGTAAACCCAAAAAAAACATTGTATGGACACAAACAGTCACCAAAAGCGTGGTTTGATGTTGAGACTGGGTTGCAGACAAAGAAAAATCAGTTAGGAAAAAAAACAATGTAGAATGTATAACTTAAATTGAAGGGACTTTACTTCCTCATCCCTATATAATTATTTTGTAGTAGATATTATTGTTTCTTTAGAGTTTCCTTTAGTAGCCTGAAATGGCCCAAAGAATCTTAAGTGGCTCATTGGTACCATGTTCATTAGCAAGTTTCTGAACTACACAGCAGGACCTTATTGAAATATCATGAGGCTTTTTAAACGTGGCTTTACAATCAGGTGTTTCATCTGCCATGGACTGTGAAAATCAAATGTCAGAACTTGAATGCCTCTTGGACTCCCAGGTACTTAACGATTCTAAAGATTATTTTATTTAGTCTCCTCAAAAAATTGTTATTACTATTATGCTGATGCATTGTTACCTTGAATATGCACTACTTAGATTTACACAATCGAAGATAGGACAGAGATGGAAGTATTTGTTCCTTCGGCAAAAGAAATTTATTTATTTTATGATAAATCACAATTTTCAAGTTCAGATTTGAAAGAAAAAATTGAAGCTTCCTTCTCCAAGGTATTAATACAGTATATGCGTTATGGATTTATATACATAATATTCATATGTATGGAATACAGTTTTTATTCATATGCTGCTGAAATATTTTCTTGCATGAACAGTTTGATGCTTCAATGTTAAATTTGCAAAAGTCACCCGAAAACTTTTATAAGGACATCGATGATAAATTGAAAGCACTGCAGAAGCGATTATCCAATGATCATGCGAAGATTTTATATTGCCTTGATGATCTTGGTCTAATATGTGCTCATGAGGTATGGTTGTTTTCTCAATAAATTTAAATTTATGCTAGAAAAAGACGTCCTCTCTGTGGTCAGCATGATATTATTCTGTATCCTACTTCCCCTTAATTCCAGTGGCTATGGTTCAAATATGTTTTAGCCCTAACTAAGTTCTTGTCAATGCTAGATAAGCCCAGGATTTACC